GAAATGGTCCATATATCACATGCCGTGCTTACATGAAGTGCTTTCAACATACAGGTTTCGCGGCAACGAGGTACGTTGATAAAGAATATAGTGTTGTTGTATACTTAAACACCTATAGTGGACAGTTGCAGCCAGTGGATGTTGAGCATTATTGGTTGCCGGAACCATTTAAAATGGTGTGTAATAAGGAGTATGTGCGTAAATGACAAGTGCAGAAAAGAACGCGTATACGAAACTAAATGGATGTTGGTGATACCGTTTATGCGCGTAAATGTGGCATATGTTCCCAAACAGGACACGACCGCCGTAAATGTCCTTCAGCTGGTTTGGGTAGCGGTGGTAATTCAGCTCCCAGTGGAAGTTCATCTAATATGCCTAATTATCAAGGATACACGTAGTGTTTTGTTGCAGTAATTTGTTGTAATAAATGTATGTAAATGTTCAGCTTGCAAAATGTATGAAATAAAATTATTATTCCAATGGGGTTAAATCTAATTGATATTTTACATTAATACTTCAGTACAACAATTTAACATACACCCCAAGAAAAAAATAATAATAGTTATTCACCATTATCGTCGCTGTTTGGCACGATTTCAATGTCACTATCTTCATCTTCTTTGTCAACATCGTGTACGCACCCTTTGGGACCGAGGGCATCGTAATCTAGGCCCCAATTGACACACACTTCTCGTATTTCATTGCTATCATCAATAAGACCACTTGCTTGATTTCTACAATAATATGGGATTCCAACGTCCAACGTCTGTGGTACAAACTTAGGTAGTCCCTCCCACTCGACAATGGTTGGGAAAACAGGATAATCATTGTCTCTATGCGGTTTTTAATTTTCGAATAAATCCCAATACTGATCCTCTGTTCCTCCCAGGTAGTTAAGATCATCCATTGCATGATGAACAACTATTGCCTTTTCCATCTCTAGAATCTCCTTCATCAAATGCCGAATCACTTCTGGTTCATCTTTGTGTGTGTTTGTTAGGAAGGTTGCAGACAGTTCTTGTGGCACAATAAGCCCATGCCAGTGATATAGTACTTCATAATCACATCGTTTTGAATAAAGGGGAACCCATTATAGCTTTTCGCCCCAAATTCGCATACCTTCAGGCTTTGTAGAATGCGCTTCGCCCTCAATAATGTGCCCTGCAACTTTGAGATCAGTGTGTATATTAATAGGCTTATTTTTCCAAGGGACGCAGAACACCATACCACTTGTCATCAACCAAGTCAGTATAGCAACCTAACATATTTTTTTCAAGGTAGGGATCAATAGTGTTAAGACGTATTCCATGGCAATCTGTTGAACTATCTTCACCCTTCTGCCTCTTTTTGAACCACTTATTAAATGTTAGTGGCATTTTTTAAATGGATGTTGTAATGTTTCTTCAAATGGTCTTTGAATACAGATGACTTGATTCGGTTTAAGAAGCTGTCTTATAACCCAAATAATCATTATCATACAAAGCATAACACGCCACCAATATGCGTTATGTGTATTGTCTTGTCGACCTGAAAAAGTTGTATTGTACCATAAAGAATCATTATCAATATCACATGAAACATAGCATGCCACCAATATGCGTTATGTGTATTTTCTTGTCGACCTGAAAAAGCTTCCGTTCTGGAAAAGTTGTATTGTACCCTAAAGAATCATTATCACGCGAAACATAGCGCGCCACCAATATGCGTTATGTGTATTGTCTTGTCGACCTTAAAAAGCTGCCGTTCTGGAATAGCTGTATTGTACCCTAAAGAATCATTATCACGCGAAACATAGCGCGCCACCAATATGCGTTATGTGTATTGTCTTGTCGACCTTAAAAAGCTGCCGTTCTGGAATAGCTGTATTGTACCCTAAAGAATCATTATCACGCGAAACATAGCGCGCCACCAATATGCATTATGTGTATTGCCTTGTCGACCTAAAAAAGCTGCCGTTCTGGAAAAGCTGTATTGTACCCTAAAGAATCATTATCACGCGAAACATAGCGCGCCACCAATATGTTTTATGTGTTTTATCTTACCTATAAAAGCCTAGCGCATTTTAGTTATTATTTGCGCTTAACCAAAACAAATAGAAAAACTTTCCATAAAATTTTTATTTTTCTTGCATTAAGAAATGTGTGGACGCAATGACGTACCAAGGTGTTATTGTGGCAAACGTGCAATTTTGAAGCCATGTTGGTCAAATAGTAATGTGGGGCTCAGACGCTGGATCTGTCAATAACTTGTAAGCTATTGTTTTGGAAAAAATGTTTGTTAATTTTTTTTATATAACATGTTAATAATAGTGTTGTGTTATAATCCACATTGGTAGGACGAAAATCAATGTAGATTTGAAGAATGGTATGATGAACCCATTAACCAGGAATACTACAAATCATGTTTGCAGTATGTTTGGAATATGACCGGTGAATAAGAACTCCAGATCTTCAAACTACAACAATAACTTGCGGCAGTGAAGGAGAAACTAAAAGATGCAGAAGACGATAAAAATAGGTTGGGAGAGAAATTAAGTGGTTGAAACACAGAATAATGGGTGATAGTGACTAAACAAACATATGGATGTGTTGAGTGTAGTATTTTATCTTTATGTTTTACGTGTCATGTATTTTCATTAATTGTACCGAATTAAAATTATGTTAAGTTAACATTTATGTTTTTGTGTTGTAGTATTTAACTAATAAATAACTCGAGAAATAAAAACACATGCGCAAATAATGTAAAATATAAATAATGTTGCTATTATATATTGAATGTCATATGTACTGATAATAAAAAAATGTCAATGTGTCCCACAACCTGTATGCTTTAAAGCATTGGCTGGCCTGAGGCGCATCCCATACCGCCCGGCTACACTATGAGGATCATCCTCATCACGTCACCTCTTTATCTGAGGATGCACTGCAGCATGATCGTCGGTAAGGCTGGCAGGCTCGGTAGAAGGGGTCGTCGGTCCAGCAGTAACCTATAAAATAATAAGATATTTTAGTATATTAAATATATATTACTAATGTACGTGTTAGCTAAAAATTTTTTAATGGTCTTACCATCATCTCCCAGGGCTCTTGAATATAATCATCCATCTCAGGCATGTTAGTATCGCACAAAGTGACCTCCGTGACGGGCGAGGATGATGCCTTTAAAAAAAATAAAAACGCTTTAGGTATGGATGACTAATCAATGAAATAAAAACAAATATAAATAATAGTAATACAAACAAACCTGAGCCTGTGAAAGATCCTCAGCATCCCTCGGTGATGACCCATAACTTAGTCGGCACCCACCATTCACATCTCGTGTCGGACGATCATCAGCAATCGTCGATGGCCCTGGGGGACCAGGAAAATACTGATCCCACTCCTGTCGCGTAATGGACGTGCCCGCAATCAACAATGGAGCTGACGGGGTCACCTACGAAGTCTCTGGCATTAGCTGAAGGCTGAATGGCGGCATATCATGAGGAGCATAGTCTGGCTCAGGGTGGTCACCCGGCTTATCAACTCTAAAATCCTCAACATGTAGCTCAACATCCCCTTGCTGGGGACCATGTCCTCGCCGACCCCCACGACCTCGTGGGACACCTCTTCCTCTCTGGGCACGCCTGCCATGTCGACCACGTTCAGGCTCCACTGCTGGCCCACAATGGTACTGCTGTGGTGGCAGATAATCAACCTCGTGTCCTAAGCGCTCGTCATCTCGGGCTCGCCTCAATGTCCGGGAAGCTAGATTTGTAACATAGCGACCATACTCGTGTAAAGCTGCCGCTCCCTCGCCGGTATGCTGTTGTATCTGCAGCCCCAACTGGTAGAACAGATGTAAGCCAATAGCATGCACAACATGTAAAATATTAATTACGGAAGGCTAGGTTAACATTATAAGTAAGTATAATGGATAACATACCAGTGCCTCATGCCTCCCGGCGTATGGAATGTACCGACCACAAACGTGATGAACGGGATTCCTAACGAAAAGTCGGGTAATGCTGCAGTACCAGCCCATATACTCATGCTCACCATCCGTACGCTCAGGTGGAGGGGTGGCGGAATCAGGTCATGCCGACGGTCCCACATCTCAATCTGCGCCTCTAGCCAGGCCACGTATGTCTGGTCAACCCTGGAACGATCATCCCACTGGTAATGTGTCCTAAGCCAAGCGGGCAGAATAGTTACAAGCTGCGGTCGATCAAACTGGCGAAGGAATCGCTCAGTAAGATGATGCTCGACTATATCGAGACACATCAATGGGACGGAAGAGCTCCACATAAGTCGGTCGCTCAAGCAATATTCGGGCAAACCAACTATTAGCTCGTCATTGTATGGCCTCCATATGAACTATTAAGTAAAAACATAAATCGTGAGTAAACGCAACACATATAAAGCCAGGTCAAGTAAACTTAAGTATATATGTACCTGCGCGCCCTCCAGCAAATCCAACAAATCCCTGCAATATAGGAGATTATGTCGAGCCTCGACCTCACGTCCGTAGCCTCGCCTATCAACCCACCTCCTAGCTAAAGGGAGAAACGGTGGAGGTGGTGCATCCGGAGCGATGGGTGGTAGAGATGGCTGCAACTGCAGGAACCGCTCCCAGGCCCAAACATAATATACAATGTAGAGGTAAAATTTAAGGTATATTTTTACTATGTATGTTATAATCATGAAAATAATTGACTATGTTTTCACCTGCAGCAGCAGCAAAAATCCGGCAACGTCTCGGTGGGTGCCCATGCTCGCCTGACACATTTGCCTATACAAGTAACCTAGAACATCTGTACCCCAGCTGTAACCAGGTAAATCATCTAGCCGCTCAAGATGGTGAAGAAATATCAAGCTCACTAGGTTTCCCGAAATGTTCGGGAACAATACCCCACCAAACATAAGCATCATCAACAATCTCATGTACCGGTCGATATGAAGATCCGGTGTATCATCTGTAATGTTTGTATCCATCGCCTCCAGATGCAGTCGGACGGGCATCAACTACAAACGACTGGCCCCTCTAAATGCAGCCTCCTTTGTTGGCTGGAAACCGGTGAGCCGCTGCAACATCTCCAGGTACTGCAATCCCATATATTCTCTGAGAGCATGCGGGTAAGCTACAGGATGTCCATCAACCGGCAACCCATATAGAACCTCCAAGTTCTGAAGCGTGATAGTATCCTCGCCAATTGGTAAATGAAAGGTGTGCGTCTCCGGTCGCCACCGCTCTATCAAAGCCGTGATCAACGACCAGTCCAACTGCAACCGGCCTATCTCTATGATCCTATAGAAACCCATATCCTGAAGGCGTCTGACTATACGGGGATGAAGTGGGTGGTCCCTAAGAAAGTCCCACATATCATCTACCCGTCTAGCGCAGAATTTCTGGGACAAACACTGCCCCTCCCATATGTACGAAGACATATGCTCGGCCTGTAGCAACAGTAGCTCTAGGGATGCAGGTCTGGGATGCACAAGCGGAACCTCCATGACGACTACTGTAAATTGAACAATATTAATTAAAGTATTTTTCTTTTTCATTGCTTAACATCTTTAAATATATTGCAATATCTTTAATATTAAAATTTATTCGATACTTTTACTATATTGTTAATTAGGTTGATACATTCGATATTTTTATATGTTACTTTAATATTTTATATGTTAGTTTACTATTTTATATGCTTTTTTTATTATTTAATGTGTTTGTTTCTTATTTTATGTGTTAGTTTATTATTTTATATGTTAGTTTATTATTTTATATGTTAATTTCTTATTTTATATGCTAGTTTATTATTTTATATATTTGTTTCTTATTTTATATGTTAGTTTATTATTGTATATGCTACTTTATTATTTTATATGTTAGTTTATTATTTTATATGTTAATTTCTTATTTTATATGCTAGTTTATTATTTTATATATTTGTTTCTTATTTTATATGTTAGTTTATTATTGTATATGCTACTTTATTATTTTATATGTTAGTTTATTATTTTATATGTTAATTTCTTATTTTATATGCTAGTTTATTATTTTATATATTTGTTTCTTATTTTATATGTTAGTTTATTATTGTATATGCTACTTTATTATTTTATATGTTAGTTTATTATTTTATACTTAGTTTGACAAATATTGTTGTTTTCTAATGTTATTTTCTTACGTTTGTTGACTAGAATTCGAGAGAGTTTGTGTGTGTTTGAACTATCAACTTTTTTCAGATATTTTTGGATTTAACAGATAATTAAATGATTAATTTCAATAGCTACAAAGATACTACGCTAAAGGGCACTATATTTTACTACGCTAAAAGGGCACTACATTACAAATACGAGCACTACATTAAAATTACAGGCACAAGATACCACTACAGGGAACTAAAGTCACATATTCATATATGTACAACAATAACATCTAAATAAGATTAATTATTCCTAAAATAACAATTTATCTATTTTACTAATCTTTTAGCAAATAACTAATCTAAACCGGATAAAAACAACAAATTAATTTAATCACAAAACAATCATGAAAAAACATATACCAAAGTAAAAATTAACTAATTAACATTTTTAACAACTAATAACAATTTCTCTATTTTACTAATTTTTTATCACAATAATAATATAATCCATATAAAAAATAACAAATTAATTAATCGCAAAATAATCACAAAATAACATATAACACAGTAAAAACAACTAACATGCATTTTTTATACATGAGTTTTAACAAACAATAAGTCGGAATACCTCGATTTAAATTTTTGGAAAGTTGAAGATTTGGTGATATGGAGGCGTAATAAGCAACCCACTACGAGATAACACCTTATATACGATGTGAGACCGAGAATCTACATTTTTTGTTGGACCGGTGGGCTCCACCCGAGTTTTTTCCGTTAAAAAGTGGGGGGAGGGGGGGCTTCTGTTTTTGGGGAAGAAGATGGTATTTATGTAGGTATAATGATAAGTAGGGATTTTAACTTGTTATTTGCTCTCTTTTACTTGTATTTAAGGCAAAAATATGCGTGAAGGTATTCCTGAAAACTAATCTAATATGCTTGCTTGCAGTGATTGTTCAAAATGAGCCAAAGGAGTCATAATCAACTCATAAAGGAGTCAAAACTTGAACAAAAACCAAGACTGGACCAAAATATGTGAAACGCGGACCGCACAAATATTGTGCGGTCGCGAAAGCTACAACGCGGTAGCGAGCACTATTTCGAGGTCCACGTAAGGAAGATTCAGAGAGATGGATTTTTGGTCTAAAACATGAACGCGGACCGCGTCAAAAAGGTGCGGCCGCGAAAGTCCCTGCACTGCCGCGATTGGAATTACGCGGACCGCAATTGATGAAGTTTAGAGAGCTTACATTTTAAGCAAAAACAAGAAGTGCGGTCCGCGTCAAGATTATGCGGCCGCGGAAGTCTCCTACGCGACCGCGATGGAAATTACGCGGTCCGCGAAACCCAGATCCAGAAGTGAAGAACGCGGACCGTGATCAGAATTATGCGACCGCTAAAGCAGGAGTGCGTCCGCGGTCAGAATTACGCGGCCGCCTAACCTCTGCAGGGGTATTTTTGTTCGAAAATTTTAACTTAGTATAAATAGAATTTTTTGTCATTTTTAGGTCATGTTGTGTATTTGCTAAGCACGTGAGACGGCTGGAACTTCCCTTTTGGGCAATTTTGTATTAGATTTACCTTATAACATTAGATTTTCATCTTTTAATCTAGTATTATGAATTTTATCTTATTTTCATCTTTGATTTCTGCTATTGCTATGAGTAGTTAGACCCATAGCTAGGGTTGTGACCCAACCCTAGCATGAGTATTTAATGGGTACTGAATTTTAGTGCTTGAATGTTTATGTGTTAGTGATATTTAGCCCAGTTCTTGCTAGAATTATAGAATTAGTGGTTGCAAATACTGATTCATGCCTTTATGACTTGGTCTCTTCTTGAGAAAGAGGGATTAAGTCTAGGAAAACTAGGATAACAAGGAATTGGGGGTGAACTCAAGAAATTGATAGCCCCAATTAAAGGGTTAAACCTAGAGATAGTAATACCCAACTTAAGCTAATATCACATGACTTGCATGATTACCCATTTGGACTTGAGAAAGCCAAATTGGGTAAAATCACTCAAACTATCGAGAGATATAGAGTGAGTACTTGGGTGTGATAGCTATATTACAACCCCAAATTAATCAAGCTTGCCCTAGATTCTTGCAACTCGTTAGATGTCCACCTAGGCGGAAGTCACTACCCTAATCCTTTTAAACGCTTGAAAACCAACATAAAAAATATTGTACTTAGCTTTAATCATTGCATACAATAAAATAGAATTAGAAGTAGAATCAAAACCAAAATGTGTGGAAGCGTAATTAGGAACAAAACACGTATCTAGACTTAGATATAAACTCAATTCCAAATCAATTAACTCCGTGTGGATTCGATCCCGACCTTGTTGGGTAAAACTGCATCGACCATCCTCGCTACTCAATAGTAGTGCAGGCTTGGACCCGATCAATTTTTGATGCCGTTGCCGGGGAGTTAGACTGTCTTAGCTATATATCTAACTATTTGTGTGTTTTGTTTTTCTTTCCTTCCGTTTTTCTAACTTTTGTGTGTCAATTGCTTTTAGATACCAAATGGCTCTTAACGAGGTCCTCGGACATATTCCTCAGGTGGAGGAGGTAGATGAAAATAAAGTGGGTGAGGTTCATCTTGAACCTCAAGTACAAAGAAGAGGCCGCCCGCCTCATGACAACGTTCCAAACCCTCCCCCACCTACTCCAAGGGCAGCACACCGGGTGTTGCCCAATGAAGGCTACGCAAGTGCAATAGTCCCGCCCTAGATTCGGGCGGGCAATTTTTAAATAACCAATGTCATGCTTACTCTATTAGAACAAAGGGGTTTCTTCACCGGAGCTCCACATCAGAACGCATATAAGCATCTCAAAGGTTTTGTAGACATATGCTGGGGGAGCAAGCAGACGAATGTATCTGAGGACGCTTTGAGGTTAAGGTTTTTCCCTTTCTCACTTAGAGGGAAGGCTTTAGATTGGATTGAGAGGTAACCCAACCATTCTATCTCCACTTGAGATGAGTTGGCCGAGAAGTTCATAGCAAAGTTCTTTTCTCCGGGACATATGGCAACATTGAGAGATGAAATCCTTGCTTTTAAACAAGAGCCAAATGAACCGTTACATGAGATTTGGGAACGGTACCGGACAATGGTCAAAGAATGACCCAACAACGATATGACTGAAGCAATGATCCATCAAACCTTTTATAGGGGTATCAACATAATTAACCAGTGTGTGGTGAATCAGCTCGTAGGGGGTAACTTCATGAACACGCATATTCAGAAGCATGTGAAATATTAGATGAGATGGCGGACACCTCTTCATCTTGGCAAAGTCGGGCCAACGTTCCTTAGGGTGACCCTAATGTTATCCACCTTCACAAGGAACTCCATGATCACGGACAAGCCATAGCAGAGTTGACAACTACCATGAATCAGTTAGCCAAGGCACAACTTCAGCAGGTTCAGGGGCCAAAGCAAGTAATTGCCATGGAAGGAGTGAATGTAATGGTTAACAAGAGGAGACAAAGAGGTCAAGAAGTTCAATACAATCAGGATCAATTTGAGCAAAATGGTAGTGGGTACAACCAAGATGACTTTTATAACGATCAAAGTGAAGAGGTTCAATATGTGAACAATTACCAAGGTTAACAAAGCAATGCTCCAAATCAACAACAGTGGAGATCAAAGGAAAACAATCAAAATTGGGGCAACCAAGGCCAAGGGAATTGGAATAGTGGCAACAACAACAATTCGAACAATTGGGGGAACAACAATCAAAATTGGAAGAATCAAGGAAATAACCAAGGCAATTAAGGTGGCAACAATAATAGTAATTGGGGAGGCAATGGAAACCAAGGGGGTTGGAACAACAATAATCAAGGGAACCGGGGGTCGGGCTCTCAAAGGCCCCCGATGTATCAACAACCCAACAACCCGCCTCCATATCCGTCACAAGGGCAAAGTTCTTCCAACAACGAGATGAGACGAATAGAAAGTATGTTCAAGCAAATGATGGAAAGAAACGCCGACTCTGATGCCCAAATAGCCTCTCACAACAATTCTATCCGCAACTTGGAAGTCTAAATGGGTCAAATTTCTCAAGCCTTGAATATTCGCCCTAAGGGGGCACTACCAAGTGATACAGTAGTAAACCCGAAGGGTGGAAATAGTACGGGCCATGCTATGGAGGTGACTACAAGAAGTGGTAGAGGTGGAGTTGCTAGTACCTCCAATCAAAGAAAGATCGTGAATGATGATGTGGTTGTGCAAGAAGAGGATGAGCCAAGAAATGATGAGTATGTGAACGATGAAGTGAGGATAGACATTGATGAAAACGTGGAGGAGACACAAGATGATGTGAACCCGTCTAGGGAACACGTGATAGACATACTGGATC